AGCTAGCGTGCCGCTGGGTAGTCACTAGGTTTATAATTAGGTATTATAAGGATGTTAGTTTCTAGGTATTTAATTTCTTTTTACTATACTATTAGGGCTTTAGGTTTTTACTACTTTTTAACTAGTTTGAAAGTTAAGAATAATATTACTAAATAGTTATTTAATTTATATTATCATATATAATTAAAGGTAGGCATCCTATACTCTAACCCAGGGGGGGTAGTGAAAGATACGTATCCTTGACCTAGGGTTACCGGGGCTTCGGCTGCTAATTAGCTAGCTCTAGATCCACCTTGCGTATCCTTTACTAGGAATCCTCGCGTATCTTACACTAGCTTTTTCATGGCCGATCCGGCTCAGATTAGGCCAGGGGTTAGCAGGGCCAGTTAGCTCTAGCTAGTGCTAGTTAGGAGTCGCTCTAATGAGAGATTAGGGTGTAGTGGTTAATTAAACATGCTAAGTTTTTAATTTTCCTACTTTAGGGTTTTTAGGTTTTACGAGCGCGGGAGTGGCGTTAGGACTAATCAACCTACCATACTCCTCCTACTCCTACACTCGCTATACTAACAGCAGTGACCATGGAAACGCGTGGAAACCATAGTAACTATAAATATGAATGTTATTATTTATTATTATGGTGAATCCTATTAACTAATCTATTGATCCATCCATCTATTATTATTATTATTGAATAAGTCAAGCAGTCGCGAAGCAGTTGTTGACTAGTGAACAACCAGTTCCCACTATGGAGAGCTAATTATTTGAGAAGATCCCTAGCTTGTAGATTATTATTTACCACCAGTGCAAGCATGGGGTGCGGCCAGCCAAGGCAGAACGCCATTTAAAGCAGAAGCATTAATTAAACCACCATCAGGCCACCCAGGTCACCCAGGCCATCTAGCAATGGGCGGATATCACGCAGGATAGCCAGGCGATCTAGATCCCATGGGTTATAGATAACGCGCTACCTATATTACCATGCCACGCTAACGGGTTGTTATGCTAGCGGGACCCCACGCAGTGCCATTACATTAGATCCACCATGGCGTCCATGCGGGTGCACTAGCGAGCCACCCACCAATGGTCCTAGCAGGGCCGCTGGGGCCATGTCGGCCTGAGGGAAAAGGCGCGTGGGGAGGTAGAGCTAGCACAATCATACACGCGCGTGGCGTGGCAGTAGGTGTTCCCCACACGCAAGGGGTCCCATTACATCTATATTAGGTACCCAGGCGGCCACTACCAGAGCCCGCCACCGCCACCCGCGGAGCAGGCCCAGCAGGCCGTGGATGCCATGGTCATTGCATGGGAGCGGGCGCGCGCGCAGGCAGTGGAGCAGGCCACTATCTAGGTGGACAAGGCGGCTGATGCCAACCCATGGCTGCGCATGACGGGGTGGGCGAGGTATTTAGATGGCGTGCACCCACAGGATTTGTGCTAGCTCGTAGAGGCGCCCGTGGAGGTAGAGGTGGTAGAGGAGGAGGAGCTAGTAGATATAGATCCCAAGGTAGATCCCACCAAGCAGGCCGTGCAGGTGATTTGGGACGCCATGGACCAGCTAGCGCGGCGCAGCCAGCGGACCATGCAGCAGTATGGCGCGGGCATCCACGTGGAGGCGGCCCGTACGGAGGCCGGCCAGACGCCATACAAGCCATTGCAGGCGTACATGGACGAGGCCAGCATTAAGAAGCACGTGCAGCCATGGCAGCAGGTGCTAGCATTCATTGCACGCACGCAGGCCGCGCAGGCGAGCCCAAGCTAAGATAGCCAAGATAGTGAGGACGGGGATGGGGATGGTAGTGGCCATGGCCGCGGCAAGTGGCTTAGGAGGTTACCCGCGTATGGGATGACCCCGCAGTAGCGCTAGAAGTAGCAGGCGTTATAGCAGCTAGCCATGCCAGCCATTAAGAGGCCCGAAGCTAAAGCAGGAGCTAGTGGCCAAGTGCGTGCGCAAGCCCAAGCCAGGCCAGGGGTGAGGGTTATCCATACGTTCGCCAGGGCCGGCCAGATCATTAAGGACGTGTAGAGTGCCAGCCCCAGCGCTAGTACCAGCCCAGGTAGTAGCAGCCCAACCACGACAGAGCTAGACGAGGAGATGGATGATAGGGATGGGGTCAAGGCTGTAGATATAGAGGTAGAGGCGTGGCAGATAACCCCCATAGAGCAAGCGTGCTTAGAGTTTTATATTAAGCTAATAAACCAGCGCTACCACACGCACGAGTACGAGAGCGCGCTAGTGTGTGCCATGGCCATGCAAGGATGGGGTGAGGCGCGCTAGCGCGATCCCAGTAGTTACCCGCCCATATTATCCCGCGTGCTCAAGGTGGCGCGCTTTATAGTAGTATAGAAGGCGTTGTGGTTAGATCCCCACGCCAGGGAGATCATCCACATGTGGACGGGCCACCAGCAGCCAGGTAGTAGCAGTAGTAGCAGCCCCATTACATGGCCATTAACCAGCGCGGACGACAAGCTGGTGGATATCCATCTAGTAGGGGATGCGCTCATCAGATCGCCATTAGGATCACCATCAGGATCACCACCAGCATTAGGACTAGGGTTAGGGTTAGGTGGGAAGCTGTTCCACGACCACGTGCAGTAGATGGTGCGCAGCTTCATGATCCGCGGCACGCACGGCCCCATGCAGACGTTGCTGGATTGGCGCATGTATGGGTTGAAGGTGCATTATAACACCACCACACCAGGGCATGTAGGGTGGATGGGTGGCGACGAGCTATTATATAAGGACGTGCATTTCACCATAGGCGCGTTCCACGGGTTCGTGCATGGTTTAGTGGGGTCAGCGCGCGAGCTGCTACGGGAGGTATTATATATATCCCCACCCACCACCAACGCCACGACTGGTAACACCACTAGTAATAGTAACACCACCACCACTAATTTTCCACCCATCCCATGGTCCGGATTATACAACGACCCCACGCAGGGCTAGAAGGGGTGGTGTTTTTTACATGATACCCGCACGCGGTGGCCCGTTAATAGGAAATAGTAGTTAATGTAGTAGCTGCGTAGCGAGCCCGCCATACAGCGCTAGTTCATGCGCCGCGGCTAGGTGCAGGCCTAGCTAGTGGCGCAGTATTTAAGCCGCGTGGCCTAGTTCAAGGAGAAGCTAGTGGTGGCTATCCACATCACAGGCAGCCAGCCCGCGCGGGTGCTTGAGCTGTTGAGCATCTAGCATGTTAACACGCAGGCCAGCCGGCACTGGAATATATTCGTCGAGGATGGGATGGTGATGGTAGTGATAGCGTACCACAAGGGGTTCCACGCGAGCAATGACATCAAGCTGATCCACCAGTACGTGCCGCGGGCGGTAGGGGAGTTGATTGTGTGGTACATGTGGTTAGTATTGCTATTCACAGAGCAGTTAACCGCGTGGCAGGCAGCGCAGCAGCAGCAGCCGTAGCAGCAGCCGCTAGCAGCGCAGCCAGTAGCCCAGCCACCGGCAGGCAGGGCATTAGGGTTAGGGTTTAATAGGGGTAGGGAGGATGCCCAAGCTCGCGCGCCCAGGGTAGGGTTAGCCCGCCCATCTAGCCAACCCGCAGGCGCCGCCGCCGCAGCATCAGGGTTAGGGTTAGGGTTAGCCAGCCCGTATTTATGGGGCCCTGATGCGGGCACGCAGCGCGCATGGACGTCTGACTGGTTCCGCGAGGTGTTAAAGCGCGAGACGCAGGCGCGGTTAGGCCAGGCGTTGAACATCCCCACGTACCAGGACATCGCCATTAGGATCAGCCGGCGGTTCATGCGCGGGGCCAGCACGTTCACGAGCGACACCCACGCCCATGATGAGAAGGAGCAGCCAGCCGTGATGGAGTTAGATACCAATCACGAGGAGGGGATAGACGCGGAGCAGTAGATGGCGCATATCATGGATTTACAGGCGGCGCATTCGTTGCACGTGGCCGGGATGGTGTACGCGCGGCAGATCATGGAGCAGGCAGGCATAACCAGCCACTAGCGGGCCATGTTCCGGCAGTCCAGCATGGAGTAGCATGAGTTTTTAGGGTTCAGCTAGGATAACGAGGATGATAGTAGTCGTGGTAGTCAGCCCCAACCCGCAGGCAATGGGGCCCGCGCCCCAAGCAGTTCGCAAGTAGTTAGGGTTAGCCGCGGCCAGCCCAGCGGCCATGCAGACATTAGGGTTAGGGTTAGCCCAGCCACCACGACATTAGGCAAGCGCAAGCGCGCGCCATGGCAGGCTAAGGCCAAGGAGCACCAGTAGGAGCGGCGGCAGTAGCTACAGGCCATGGACATGACCATGGCGATGCAGCACATGACTGGCCAGGCCCGCATGCAGTTCCGCGGGGTCCAGGGCCCTGCCATGGCAGCTATCTAGCAGGGCCGCAGCCCAGTGGTGGCCATCATGCCCATGGGGGGTAGCAAGAGCATGTTATTTATATTACCCGCGTGGGCCGTGCCCGGTGGCACCACCATCATGGTAGTCCCATTAATATCATTACGCCAGGACATGGCGCGGTAGTGCCAGCAGGTTAGGGTGTCTAACCCAGGGGGGGTAAGCGGTCGCAGGTGCGACCGGATTGGGGTTTCCAAATTCTCGACCGCTGATTGGCTGGTGGCAACCCCCACAGTGCATGCGACTGGTTTGGCCACAAGGTCATGCGACCGTATCTACAGCTTAAGCCTAGGTGGCGGGAAAAGTAGCAGGGTAGGTAGAGGTGCCCGTTAACTATAAGATTACCAAGTTTTCATGCCTGATTTAAGCTTATGTGGAGGAGGGTGCGGTGTTGTTGGGTGAAAATCGAGCAGGTATTTGCAGGGCAGGTTTGATGGTTCGCAGCGGGTACGGGTACCAGGTACGCAAGTAGATAGGCTCTGGCCCACGCCATGGCTGGACTACGCGCTGCCATGGAAACGGTAGATTATTTTAGATTATTATGATTTTAAGTTTTTAAGTCATCCCCATTAATCCAACGCAAACTATCAATCAATCATTAATGCCACACCTTGCTTGCTTATAACATAACACCATGGAGGAGCACTTGTTCGAAAGGAACCCAGCGCTGCGAATTATCATATGTCGTCAGTGCAAGTATGGCGTACGCCCAGCAGAGATCCAACAGCATTTAAAGCGCCAGCATCAATCCACATACGCGGCCGCTTGCCAGGCGGCCAACGTGGTACAGCAATGGGAGGATATTGAGCAGGATAGCAAGGCGATTCAGATCCCACGCCAGCTGCGAACCCCGCTGCCCATCATCCCATGCCACACAGGAGGATTATTATGCCAGCGGGATTACCCACAGTGCCAGTACCTAGCATGTCATATGGACGCCATGCGCAAGCACTGGCGGACCACCCACCAATGGTCCCAGCAGAGCCGCCGGGGCCGTGTGGGTCAGCGGGAGAAGACCCACGGGGAGGCAGAGCTAGCGCGCTCATTCACGCGCGTGGCATGGCAGCAGGTGTTCCCCACGCGCAAGGGGTCGCATTACATCCATATCCAATACCCAGATGGCCGCCAGAGCCCGCCACCACCCGCAGAGCAGGCCCAGCAGGCCGTGGATGCCATGGTCATCGCATGGGAGCGGGCGCGCGCGCGCGAGGCAGAGCAGGCCACCATCCAGGCAGACGAGGCGGCTGATGCCAACCCATGGCTGCGCATGACGGGCTGGGCAAGGTATTTGGACGGGGTGCACCCGCAGGATTTGCGCCAGCTAGTGGAGGCCCCAATAGAGGAGGAGGTAGTTAAGAAGGATCCCAAGGTAGATCCCGTAGAGCAGGGCATTCGGGTGATTTGGGACGCCATGGACCAGCTAGCGCGGCGTAGCCAGCGGACCGTGCAGCAGTGCGGCGCGGGCATCCGCGTGGAGGCGGCCCGTACGGAGGCCGGCCAGACGCCATACAAGCCATTGCAGGCGTACATGGACGAGGCGAGCATCGAGAAGCACGTGCAGCCATGGCAGCAGGTGCTGGCATTCATCGCGCGCACGCAGGCCGCGCAGGCGAGCCCAAGCCAGGATAGGGATGAAGATGGTGATGATGGCCGTGGTAGTGGCAGTGGCAGTGGCCGTGGCCGTGGCCGCGGCCAGTGGCTGGGGAGGTTGCCCGCGTATGGGATGACCCCGCGGCAGCGCTAGAAGTGGCAGACATTATAGCAGCTAGCCATGCTGGCCATGCCAGCCCCAGAGAGGCCCGATGCCAAAGCTGAAGCCGGTGGCCAAGCGCGCGCGCAAGCCCGAGCCAGGGCAGGGGTTAGGGTTGTACACACGTTCGCCGGGGCAGGCCAGATCATTGAGGACGTGTGGAGTGCTAGTGCCAGCCCCAGCACAGGTAGCAGCCCAACCGCGATAGAGACGAACGAGGAGATGGATAAGGAGGATGGGGTAGAGGCCATAGATATAGAGGTGGAGGCATGGCAGATAACCCCCATAGAGCAGGCATGCTTAGAGTTTTACATCAAGCTGATGAACCAGCGCCACCGCACGCATGAGTACGAGAGCGCGCTGGTATGCGCCATGGCCGTGCAAGGGTGGGGCGAGGCGCGCTAGCGCGATCCCAGCAGTTACCCGCCCATATTGTCCCGCGTGCTCAAGGTGGCGCGCTTCATGGTGGTGCAGAAGGCGTTATAGTTGGATCCCCATGCGAAGGAGATCATCCGCATGTGGACGGGCCATCGGCAGCCAGGCGGCAGCGGCAGCGGCCCCAATACATGGCCGTTGACCAGCGCCGACGACCAGCTGGTGGATATCCATATCCATCCAGGGGATCCAGCCCAAGGATCGCCATCAGGATCACCACCAGGATCAGGATCAG